CATGCCACTGGTTGAGTGAAGTTCACATGCCACAGACACCCGCACTTCAGGTAACCCCCTCAGGTGTGTAAGTAACCCTCTCAGGTGCAGGTCTCCCCCTCAGGTGCAGGTTCCCTTGGTGTCTGTGGCGTGTGGCCTTGCTTCAACCGGTGGCCCTCCCTTCTCTTCCAGTTTTGGCAGTTTTCAGTCTGTGGCTTGTCTTGTGCCCATGCCATGCATACTGACCACCGACGTGTGTGCGCATTGCAGGTGGCGGGGAGGGGTGTGGGGTCAACACCGACGCTTCCTCACGCCTCTCCCCGGTGGCCGTGCAGGGACTCGTGGGGATGGGAGGGAGGCAGCGCTGCAGCATGGCAATCCCACTGCAGCGAGGGAGAGTATTGGGAAGGGCTTGGCCTCTCAAGGTGAGCCTCTTACCTCGCTTTCCCGCTGCACTCGTTTTCTGCTCAGTTTCCCTCTCGCGTTTGCCTCTTTGATTCGCCCTTGCCTGTTTCAAGGCATGCACTCACTCCCCTCCTGGCCTTCCCTTCCGTTCTGCCCCCCTTCCAGGTCACTCGCAATGCAGCAGAGACAGCTGACAGGACCAGTTGTGGCAGCATCAGCAGCGGGGAGCATTGGTGCAGCAGGGAAGGGGAGGGGAGGGGAGGGAGGGGGACATGAGGCAGCATCTCTCACCGCTTCTTCAGCTGCCAGAGAAGTGCTTTCTCCTCCCTGGACTCACTCTTGCTTGCTGTTCACTGGTCATACTGAATCACTCTTGTCGTTTTCACATGGGCTTCTGTGCTTTATCCCTGAAATCTTGCCACTGGTTGGGGCCCGGTTCACAAGCCACAGACCTTCCCTTACTCCTGGTAAAACCCTCAGGTTAAGCCCTCCCTAGGCCTTACAGCCCCATCAGGTACAACCCCTACTGCAGGTTTATCCCCTCAGGTTCCCTTAAAGGTCTGTGGCTTTGGGTTGTGTTTCCACCAGTGGCCCCTCCCCTCCCCTTGCTTGTGTTGTTTTGAAACTCGCAGTTGCTGATCCAGCTTGATTCCTTGGTTGCACACTGACAGGCTCTGTGCGTGTTCATTGCGGGTGGAGGGGAGGGGCTCTGGGGTCAACACCGACACTTCCCCACACCCCTCCCCTGTGGCCATGCAGGGACTCGGGGGGATGGGAGGGAGGCAGCACTGCAGCAGATGGCAATCGCTGCCACAAGGGAGAGTATCGGGGTGGGCTTGGCCTCTCAATGTACGTCGGCTTTCTCCTTGCCTCCACCAGTGGTCCCTTCCCTCGACTTCCCTGTGTTTGAATTTCCAGCTGGCATGTCAGCCTTGTGTTTTGATTGCACACTGACTATCTCTGCTTGTGTGCATTGCAGGTGGAGGGAGGGGTGTGGGGTCAACACCGACGCTCCCCCACGCCCCTCCCTTGTGGCCGTGCAGGGACTCATGGGAAGGGGAGGGCGGCAGCACTGCAGCAGATGGCAATCGCTGCCACAAGGGAGAGTATCGGGGTGGGCTCGGCCTCTCAAGGTATGTCAACTTCCTTCTTACCCTCCAACTCCCTCAAGTTCGTTTTCTGCTGCATGTTTCTCTTCATTCTTTTCATCAGCGCTTCTGGCTTGTCGTTTCTGCATCTTCCTGCTTCATCCTTTGTGCATTTCGAACCACAGCACTGCTCTTGTCACGCCACACCTCACTTTTTGTCTCTCTCTCCTCCTTTCTGCCTGCCACCAGGTCACATGGCATCAAGGGAAGAATGCAGCTGAGAAGCAGACCGGCAGCAGTAGTTGTAGCAGCAGAAGCGGAGCAGCAGCAGCTGTAGCAGCAGTGGGGGTTGGGGGGCTAGAGGGCAGGCTAGGCTAGATCGAGTCATGGTATGCAAGGTGTGGTAACAGGTAAGGTATGGTTACAGGTCAGGTATTCTGACCCCCTCCTTTCTGTTTCCCCTCTTCTGTCCTGCAGCCTGAGGATGGGAGCGCTGAAGCAAGGGCAGAGTGTGGAGTCGACCTTCTCACTCACCTCCTCTTCTCTCCCTTCTCCCTCCCACCCAACAGCACCCTGCCTGGACCACAGTGGAGTCCCACCCTCTCTTAATCCCCCCTCCCCACTTCCCAGCAGCCTCAGGAATCATGGTGCTGCATGGCTCTGGTAGGTACAGGTGAGCAGGCATGGGGTGAAGGGATGGGTGGAGGTGGGCGGGTGGAGGGGCAGCATGGGAGCAAGCGGGCAGCACACTCTCTTAGGGGCGGCACCCTCTGGGGTTGTGGCTTGTGGGTGGGGTGTGGTGGGTGGAATCTGCGTGGCGGCGGCACTCGGTGCTCAAGTAACCGATCTGGCGTTCAAAGCTTAATGGACACCGTCAGAGCCGACCGGCCGGCGGCTCTGGTTGGCGTCAGCTCTAGCTACGTCAGGGGTGGGATTTGAGTCTTGGGCCAGATCATGCTTTCCACTGCCACATCTCCCCCGCAAGTCACAGCCACTGAAGCTGCTGTTTCCGAAAGGGATTGGGTTGTCTGCTGCTCCTACTGCTGGGGGATGGGCTGGTAAGTTGTGGTGGGGGTTTGCTACCATATAGTATGATATTATATGGTATGCTACTGTATGGTATGCTATTGTATGGTATGCTACTGTATGGTATGCTACTGTACGTATGCCACTGTATGGTATGCTACTGTATGGTATGATATTATATGGTATGCTACTGGTTGGAATGCTATTGTATGGTATGCTACCGTATGGTATGCCACTGTATGGAATGCTATCGTATGGTATGCGATTGTATGGTATGCTACTGTATGGCATGCTACTGTATGGCATGATATTATATGGTATGCTACTGCATGGTATGCTATTGTATGGTATGCTACTGTATGGTATGATTTTGTATGGTATGCTATAGTATGGTATGCCAATGTATGGCATGCTACCGTATGGTATGATGTTATATGGTATTCTACTGTATGGTATGCTATTGTATGCTATGCTACTGTATGGTTTCCTATTGTATGACATGCTACTGTATGGTATGATTTGTATGGTACAAATAGTATTGTATGATACTGTATGGTACAATATTGTATGGTATGATGATGTATTGTATAATACTGTATGGTATGTTGCTGTCTGGTATGATGCTGTATGGTATAATGCTTTATGGTATGTTGGTGTATAGTACGAGACTGTATGGTATGATACTGTATGTTTGGTATGTGGTATGATACTCTCTGATGGTAGATACTGCATGGTATGATGCTGTATGGTATGATATGGTATGGTACTGTCGGGTATGTTACTGTATGGTATGATACTGTGTGGTATGACACCGTAAGGTATGTTACTGTATGGTGTGATACTATATGGTATGATAGTGGAAGGTATGGTACTATATGTTAATGGCTGTATGATATGATACTGTATCATATGATGCTGTGTTATGATGCTGTATAGTATGTTAATTTATTGTATAAAACTGTATGGAATAATACTGTATTGTATGATGCTGTATGGTATGATACAGTCTGCACGTTGTGTAGTATGTTGGTGTGTGTTATGATAGTGTGTGGCATGTTATTGTGTGGCATGATACTGTCTGCACGTTGTATGATTTGCTGTCTGATGTGTGGTTTTGGCAGAGCATTGTGTGGGATGACATGGTTTGGCATGTAATTGTGTTCATGCCATGGCGTGGTTTGGGGTGTCCCATGCTGTGGGATGCGATGCTCTGCATTTGCATGGTTTTGCATGCCATGATGTGGTGTGCCATAGTATGGCATGCCGTAGCGTGGCATGCTGTTGTTTAGTGTGTGCCATTGTGTGGTGTGCCATCTTTTGGCATGTTATGTTGTGGCATGTCATGGTGTGGCATGACATGGTGTGGCATGTCATGGTGTGGCATGTCATGGTGTGGCATGTCATGGTGTGGCATGTCATGGTGTGTGACATGATTCCATCTGCAGGTTGGCAATTGCTGGAGGCAAGTGGAGCATGATGGAAGGCAAGGAGACCACATGGGGAGGGAAAATGAGAAAGTAGAAGAGAGGTGCATTGCATTGCCTTTCCTGGGAAGCTTTCATGGAGAGCGAAGCGATCGTAGAGGGCTGGAGAAGATGAGGCGTAGGACATGTAGCAAGCTCTCCTTATTTTTGCACATGGGATATGATATTGGTAACACTGAGGGATCAACCATAGAGCTACTTTTCCTGCCATACTTGGTTAGCGTAGCCATACCTTTGTATAACATCATGTGATAATCATCGTTCATTACAACCTCAATACTCGTGTAATTATCCTTGGAGAAGTCATTGATGCCTTGTAGTCGAGCCCCTGGATAGATATTTTCAATATCCAACGGTAGCCTGTTCAACCAGTACGATGTTACACAAACTAGAACCAATCTGTTCATTTTTGTAGAAGTTTGCTTGAATAGTTAGAGTCTGTTTCAATTCAGTTTAGCTCTTTTCACAAATTCACGTCCTGCAGATTCTGCACCGTCGCAGCCACATCCAGTATGGAAGGGTACCGTCCGTAACACTCCCCGCAACAGAGGGTATGACGTCAAATTCGCCAACACTTGAAACCCAAAATTAGAGTTCTTGTATCTTCCTAGCAGGGAAGGCCCAATGTGAGGAGCCTGTCGATTAGTGTGGAGACTCTTCGAGTTGGAAGTCACCCAGAAGCAAGCAGAGGCGAGAAGGCTGCGGGAAACAGGAAGTACGGTGCATATCCAAGGGATTGTACGATACCATTGCTTGAGACATGGCACTTGCTACCAGTAAGTATGCTTTGACACAATGTCAGTCGATTGTGTAAGCTTTCTACAGCAGCAAACAAAACACACCTTTGGTCAGACAAACTCCAATAACAGAACCAGATAACACAGCTACGGCACCTAATGCTCTTCTGAGCTCCCACATGGAAGGGATGGGAGAGACGTCTCCCAAAGAGCAAAGAGCGCTCCGATGAAGAGCACCGTCATGGCATGGCGTGCATCATGCTTCTCCTACTCCACTACTCCTACCGACCTATCACCAGCCTCTCAAGCAATGACGGCAGTTTCCCCTTAGCGCCTGCCGCCGCTGCTCTGTCACTCTTGCCGTCAGCACCACCTGACGCTCCCTCAGAACCAGCTACCATTCCTCCTTGCTGCGCAGGCGTGCCCTCCTTCCTAGCAGTCCCCTGGCTGCCTGTGCCTCCTCTGGACGTCCCGTGCTCGCCACCACTGCTGCTGTTGATGCTGCTGCTGACGTTGCTGCTAGTGGCGGTGGTGGCAGAGGTCACAGTGGAAGAGAGCCCTCCTGCACTGCTGCTACTGCTGGTGCTGCATGTGCCCGTGCTGCCAGCACCCCCGGTGCCACTGTTCCTGCTCTTGCTGCTGCCGCTGCTAGTACTGTTGACGGTGCTGCTGTTGCTGTTAGCACATGCCTCCTCACTCCCACTCACCTCCCACTGCCGGTTGACACCCTCTCTGCTGCTCTTGCTGCTGCCCTGCTTCGCTATCTCCCTTGCGCTGCCACCATCAGAAGCAGAGGATCGTAAGGAATCACCGGGAGCAAAGTCAAACGGCATCGAGTGCCGGCGTGCCTGCCCGCTGCCACTGCTGCTGCTCTTGCTCTTGTCCTCGCTATTAGCTGCCTCGTTACGCTTTCTGTGCGCAGGAGGGTCGATGAGGGTGTATTTCTTCCTGCTCGTTGGGGTGGTCGGGAGGGCCATGGAGGGCGGGGAGGTGGGACTGGGACAGGATTTACTGTGAAGAGTGACACCAGCAGCACTACGTGCAGCAGCAGCACTAGGGGTGCCGGCAGAAGGAGCGGCCGCAGCCGCAGCAGCAAGAGAGGAGGCACGCGGTCTAGCTACTGGAGTGGCTGCATGGCTGGTCGTGGAGGGCATGTCCAGGGCGATGGGATCATGAGCATAAGGGAGTTTGGGGCTGGCAACGCCAGTGCTGCCCTTCACATGCGCGGCTGTGGCACCACTGCTGCCACTGTTAATTGTCCCAGACTGCCCCAACCGTCCTTTTGCCCGGCCTATTGCTGCAGAGGCTGTTTTCGGCCGCTGCTGCTCGCCCTGCCTCTGCCCCTTCCCCGCCTTTGCCTTCCCCTTCCCCTGCTCCTCTTCCTCCTTCTGCTGCTGCTTCTGCTGCCGTTGCTCCTTTGAAGAGTGCTCGCTCCTTGGCTTCCTCCCCTCAATCCAGCTACCACCACCAAAGCCACGAGTACGACCTCCCCCAGCCGCACCTGCTGCACCAGTGCCACTTGAACCTGCAGCAGCACCAGAAGCGCTGACAGAAGTGGCAGCACTGCTGGCACTGCTGCTCCTGAACCAGCTGTCGCCAGCCTTGCTGGGAGTCCCCCCTGAGGGTGTGCGGGGTGATGCAAGCAAGGAGGAGAAGGAGGAGAGGGTGGAGAGCGAGGGCCGGGCGGAGGGGCGAGAGAAGGCAAGGCGAGGCGAGCAGGAAGGGGGGGCATTGGAGGCATGCAACTCGTCTGGATACATGTGCTCCTGCTCCTGCTCCTGCTCCTGCTCCTGCTGCTGCTGCTGCTGCTGGTTCTCCTGCTGCTTCTGCTGCTGGTGGTGTGGCTGGGACGAGTGGGAGTGGAAAAAGGGACTCTTTCCGGTGTTGCTGCTGCCTGCTCGCCCCTTGCCCAGGCCACTGCCTGTGCCGCCAGTAAACGCACCAAGCGACGCAGAGAGCAGCGAGCGAGGTGTGAAGATGCTGCGCCGTGGGGTGAGCGGCGTGGAGGGGGTGAGCGGCGTGGAGGGAGTGAGCGGCGTGGAGGGAGTGAGAGGGGCCGTGGGGGTGGTTGGTGCGGGTGTAAGGGCAGAGGAGGAAGGCGAGGAGGAGACCGGGGAGTGGGGGGGAGAGGGGGACGCGGTGCGGGGCACGTGGATGACAAGAGAGCTAGCGGGGTGGAAGCGGAAGCTCCTCTGCTCCTCCGTGCCCTTGACGGCAGCGCCAATGCTGTCCCCCCTGCTACCCTCGAGTGCAGCACTGCCAGGGCTCCAAGCAGAGAGCTTGAACGACCCCAGGTGCAGAGGTGAGAGCAGCGCTGCCTTGCGGCCCTGCCCCTCCCCCTCATTGCAAGCGCTCACAGCCCCTTGCTCCTCCTCTGAACCACTCTCGCCATCCTCCCTGCTCGCCTCGCTGCTGCTGCCAATCCCCACGTGGCTGGTAGCAGGCTGGGATGCCTCCCGGCCGGTATCCCTTGCAGCGTCTGCTGATGCTGCATCCACCACAGTTTCTGCCCTCGCACTGGCCTCATCTGCCACGTCACCACCTGCCATGTCATCACCTGCGCTGTCACCACATGCCACATCACGATCTGCGTCGCCAGCACCTGCCACGTCACTATCATCCACAGTGGAAGCTTCTTTCTGCAAGCCCTGACGTGCTGTAGCTGCAGCGGATTCCTTCTCTCGCCCCTCCTCTGCTCGCACAGACCCCGCAATCGGCAGCGGCTCCTGCTGCTCCTGCGCTTGCTCCTCTTGCTCCCCGTTCTCCTGCTGTTGCGCCTGCTCCTGCTGCTCTGCTTCCATCTGCTCCCCAGTCAGCTGATCCTGGGACACATCCCCACTAGCGCCACCACTTGCAGCATCGCATGCATCACTTTCTTCCACCCCCACCAGCAACAGCTCGTCTTCCACAGGCACCATGCCATACACCTGCACCTCTCTGCCCACCTCGTCCTCCTCCCCCTCCTCCTCCTCGTCCTCCTCCACCTCCTCCTCCTCGTCCTCCTCCCCCTCCTCCTCCTTGCCCTCCTCCCCCTCTTCCCCCTCCTCTTCCTCTTCAACTTCCTCCCCTTCTTCCCCTAACTCCCCTTCCTCCAACTCCTCCCCGCTTCCCCCTTGCTCCTCATCATCTCTCCTCTCCTCCCCATCACCACACGGCAGTGCATCCCCACCATCCTGCACCCACCCCTGCTGTCCTAATGTCTGCCGCCGTGTGCTGCCTTCCAGGCGCACACCTCCATGCGCATCAGCAGCCACTACGGCAGCACCAGCAGCAGCACCGGCAACAGCAGTGCTGTTCGAATTACCAAGCAGCTCCTCCAAGTGTGAAGCTGCCTGGGCTTGCTGCTGCGAGTCAGTGCCGTCGCCACCAATGCCACCATCATCACAAGTGCCAGCTGTCCCGTTTTGGCATGCTGTGCCGGGCGCAGGGGGAGGTGTGGCATGGATGGGTGCTGCAGCAGAAGTGTGTACGAGGGGATGTGCCGCATCAAGGGGCGCATGCACAGCACCATGCATGGGTGCGTGCGGATGGGCATGCAGATCCAGACTGACGTCTGAGGAAGAGGCACAGCTGCTGGAAGCGGTGAGGCATGGCGTGGCCTCTGCCGCAGCAGCAGTAACGGCAGCAGCGGTAGGGGTGGGAGGCAAGGAGTGGTCCAGAGGTGAGGCCAGGGAGGCATGGGTATGTGAGAGCACGGAGTCGGACCCACTGCTGCTCTTCCTCCGCTTCTCCCTATCCCTCCCTCGCCTCGCTCCTCCTTCCCTCCCACCCGCCTCCCTCTCTGCCTTGACACCACCACCAGTCCCACAAGCCCCTTCCCCATGCTCACCCTCTTCCTCCTGCTTCCCTTTCTCCTCCCTATGCTTCCCTTTCTCCTCCCTATGCTTCCCTTTCTCCTCCCTACGCTTCCCTTTCTCCTCCCTATGCTTCCCTTTCTCTTCCCTATGCTTCCCTTTCTTTTCCTTATGCTCTCCGTCCTTCTTCTTCCCATGACCCTCCTCTCACCATGCTCCCCTTGCTTCTCCTCATGGCTTCCCTTCTCTCCCAAACTCTCTCCCTTCGTTTGCCCCTCTTTCGATTTCTTCCCCTCTTTCTTCCCCCCGTGCTTCCCCGTGTCCACTTCCCCCTCCCCCTTCTCCCCCCCATGCTTTCCCTTCTCTTCCCTACTGTGCCGCTTCTCCCTCCGCTGCTTCTCCCCTTTCCTCTCCCGTTCCCCCTTCCCACCCTCACCCCCCTCCGCCACCTTATCCAAGTCCCTCTGTTCTCGTCCTCCCTCCTTCCCTGCCCCATCCCCCCCTACTCTCTCCTCCTTCCCTGCCCCATCCCCCCCTACTCTCTCCTCCTTCCCTGCTATCACAAGCCCTTGCTCTCCACCCTTCACCTGCACCCTATGCACCACCATCTCCACAGCTGTTCCCCCCTCGTCTCTCGCGTCGTGCCTTCCGTGCCGTTTCTCCACCTCCCTCGGGCTCTTCTTAGACCTCTTTGGACTCTTCACTGCTGCTGCACCCTTTGGGCTCTTAGAGGCCTTCCCTGCTTTCCTCGGGCTCTTTTCTGGGTGCTTCGGGGTCAGAACCTGCTGCTCCCTCCCCTCCCCATGCTCCACCGCGAGACCTTTCTCACGGCCCTTCTCGTGCCTGCTGCTCTCCTTGCTTCCTGACCTCTCATGACCTCTCTTGTGCTCCTCATCCTGCCGTTTCTCCTTGCAAGCGCCTCCACTCCTGCCCACCCCTGCATGCATGTGCCCATCACACCCCTTCGCCAGCTTCTTATGCCTTCCCCCGTGCTCTCCACTCTCCTCCCCTTCCGCGCTCACCCTCTCAGCCCCCAACTCTTCCGATTCCTCCCTGTCCCCATCCCCAAGCGTCCGCTCTCCCTTCTCTCCCTCCAACCCCTCCTCATGCGACTTTCTCCTCTGCCCACCCTTCCTCCCCACTTCCCTCTCCTTTCCCTTCTTCCCTTTCTCACCTCCAGCATTCCCCTCCTGCCGCTCCTCTCTCCTGCTGCCACCTGCACCCTCACCCTCACCCTCGCCCTCACCCTCGCCCTCACCCTCGCCCTCACCCTCGTCCGCACTCATTCGCACGCCACTCCCGTTGCTCTCCCCGCTCCCACTTGCTCTCCTGCACCGAACCACATTGCCGGTTGCCTTCCCGCTCATACCCGCACTGCCACTCGACCTCCCACTCCCACCCACACTGCCGCTCGACCTGCCACTCCCATGCTCCTCACTGTTGCGCCCACTGCCCGCCCCTCCACCCCTTCTTCCCACACCCACACTGCGTCCGTCCAGGGCCGCACCCGCCTCACTCCCCACCCTGCCCGTTGCCAGCTGCTCCACTGGCGTGGCAAGGGGAGGGTCAACAGCAGAGGCTGAGATGACAACAGGGGAAGACTGAGTGGCAGGGGACGGATAGGCAGCAGGGTGAGGGTGGGGGGCAGGCACGTGGGCTGAACGGGCGGCTGCATGTGTGCTGCGATGCTCAGGCGCCCTTGCTCCCACTGCCTTGTGCAGTGCAGGCTGAGGGGAGCACGGGCGCTGCAGTGGCGTGATTGAGGGGCGCTCCTGAGGGGCAGTGGAGGAGCGCTGTAATGGGGCCGTTGAGGGGCGCTCAGATGCTCGTGCCCCTGCACGCCTCACACTCCCCCGGCCATTGGGTAAGGGAGTGGGGGACGAGGGGCGTAGTGAGGGGGACGAGGGGCGTAGTGAGGGGGAAGAGGGGCGCAGAGAGGGGGAAGAGGGGCGCAGTGAGGGGGAAGAGGGGCACAGCGCGGGGGAAGAGGGGCGCAGCGCGGGTAGAACAGAGCGTGGTGCCAGGGAGGAAAGGTGCAGTGGAGAAGTAGGCCCTCCAGGTGCAACAGTGTGAACACTAGAGGCAGAAGCAGCAGCGGAGAGAGCAGAGGGCGGCAGGCTGAGAGTCTTCACGAGGCCTCTGGGTCGACCGGGCTGGCGGTGCTGGTGGTGCGGAGACTGCTGCTCATGGGGGTGCTGTGGGGACTGCGGTAGGTGGCGCGGGGACTGGTGCTGCTGACGCTGTGAGCTAGAGCGCGACGGGTCAGAGAGACGGGACACAGCAGGAGCAGGTTGGGGGTGAGGCACAGCAAGGGCAGCAGGATGTGGCACACTAGAGCTGCGGGTCAACAGACTTGTGCTGCCTGCGTCTGCACCCACACCCGCCCTCCCCTCCTTCCCAACCCCCTCTGCATGCAGCAGCTCTTGCCCTGCCATGTTTCGCTGCACGCTTCCCTGCCCATGCCCCCTCTGCATCTCATGCTGCTCCTTTTCTCTCTCCTTAGCCTTCTCTCTCTCCTGCTCCCTCTCCTGCTCCCTCTCCTGCTCCCTCTCCCGCTCCTTGTCTTTCTCCTTCTCCTTCGTCTCCCCCTGCCCCTTCATCTCACCATGTGTGTGTCTCTGAAACTGCTCCTCCGCCTTCACCGCATGGCCCATCTCCTTCTCTTCCCCACGTGCCTCATACACCCACATCGATTGCCCCGCCTGCTTCTGCCATCCTGATTTCCACGGCAATTCACGTCCCCCATCAATGCCCCCACCACCACCCCCACCACCACTCCCACCACCGCCCCCACCACCGCCCCCACCACCGCCCGCATCAGTGTTGCCCTGCCCTGCTTCCTCACCCCTTGCTGCGCTCTCCCCACCTCCGCGCACACCCTCCTCATTCCTCCTTCGGACCTCCCTGTTGTCCTCGTCCCCACCACCACCACTCTCCCCTCTCGTTCCGTCACTCGTTCTCACCGCCTCCTGCTCTACCCTGCGACTTCTCCCCTCTGCCTCCTCACCTCCTCTCAGTCGTTCATGGTTCTCATTCGAATCCTCTCCAACTCTCATCCTCCTCTTCTCAGAGACACTTTGCAGCCCCTGTTCCTTCTTCACCTCCTCCTTTTCCTGCTCCGTCTCTTCCATCCTTCCCTCGCCCTTCCCCCCCCCCTTGTTCTCCTCCGCTTCCACCCCATTCCCCTCCCCCTTCCTCTCCCCATTCACCTCACTCTTCCGCTCTCCGTTTCTCGCACCCTTGGCCCCCCCCTCCCCCTTGCCCTCCGCCCTCCTTTCCACCTCACTCTGCACTCTCCTCCCCTCCCCATCCGCCACCCCCACCTCGCCCGCTGTGCTCCTTTCACTCTCCTCGCCTTCCTCCTCACCCTCTTCCACAACAGGCGTCGCCCCACCTGCACCCCAGCGCTGTCTGAACGCACGCTCCCTCAGCCGGCTGCCCTGCACGCCCCTCAGGGCGTACCGTGCCCGCCTCTCCGCCCTCGCCTCCCCCGCGCCCCCCGCTCCCCTCTCACCCGCCTCCGCCCCACTCCCCCCTGCCAAGCTGCTCTGCTGCTGTCCCCCCACACCACCACTGCGCCTCCCACCAGTCCCTGCTGCAGCAGCAGCACCTGCTGTGCTCTCGTCCTTGCTACCCCCCGCCACCTTTCTCAGTAGTCCCCCCACACCCTCGCGCCACCCCTCCCACTGCTCCACAGCTATCCCCAACTCGCTAGCACTGAACACCTCCCCACCTCCCAAACTCATCCTCCGAGCCAGCCGCCTCTCCGAACCACCCAGCCCGGACCTGCGCTCCGAGCCTCCCACCGAGCCTGGGGTTACAGGTGAGGCGGCAGCAGCAACGAGGCCCAGGCCTAAGGACCACTGACTGAAGCTCTTCCTGTGACGGCCGCCCCCCTCCTCCTGCAGACTCAGGTGCCGCACAAACCTCCGCTCACCTGTTGTCCCCCCTGCTGTCTCGGGCGCCCCTGCTCGCCCTGCCCCCCAATCCCTGCTTCCCCCCCTCTCAGCCGCGCTCAGCCCCCTGCCAGCCAATGGGGAGCGGCCAGCTGGACTGGCTAGCTGAGGGGTTCTGGGGTTTGAGTCGCTTCCTGCTGCTGACGTGGCAGCGTCCCAGTGGCCACTGCTCCGTCGGGAGATCCTCTCCTCTGGGAGGCTTAGGTTCTTCTGAAAAACCCGCCCTGACCGGCTGCTGCTGCTGGCGCTGCTGATACTGCTAGTTATGGCGGCAGTGGCAGCACTGTGAGTTGGGGCAGTGGGGCTCAAAGCAGGTGGCGCCTTGCCAGTGCTTCGGCTTGACATCGATCCTGAAGGCGGCAACCCAGGCCTGCCAGGCAACCACCCTCCTAGCCCTCCTCCTCCCCCTCCTCCTCCCCCTCCTCCCGCTGCCCTCCTTCCTCCCTCCACAACCTTGGCTTCCATGCCCCCCGCACCTCCACTGCCCCGCTCCTGCAGGCTCAAGTGCCGCACAAACTGCCGCCCTCCCACGCCCCTCCCACCGCCATCTCCCCCTCTTCCCCTAGCATCACCCCCCTCGCGTCCCCCCTCGCCCCCACGCCCCCCCTGCCCCACGGATTGCAGAAGCGCGCCTGCCCCTGCGCCTGCGCCTCTGGACCCCCATGGGCTGCCCTGCCTGATCACCCTCTCCTGCTGCCAGCTCGCATGCTTCACCAGTGCCCTTCCCCCCGCAGCCCCACTGCTGCCCATGCCCCTGCCACCACCACCAGCAGAACCACTCGCAGCAGCAGCAGCAGCAGCAGTACGTGAGAGACCCGGAGCAGCAAGGGAGGAGCTCCCAGCACCATTCCCTCGCCTGCTGCTGCTTTGGCTGTCCGCTTCCCCCATCCTCCGTCCACTGCTGTTGGCACTACCACCACAACTCCCACTACTGCATGATTCCGACCAACCCCCCTCCCCACGCCTCTCAACCACCCGCTCCAGCCCCCTTCCCCCGTCCATCCCCCCCATCGAACCTACTCCCGAGCCTCGGATCCGAACCAGAGGCTTGGCGGCGGCGACGATCCTCCTGGACCCTCGCTCCGGCCGGCCCACCCCGCCCCCTGCTGCTAGAGCATCCTGCATCCTTGCCTGCTCCTGCTGTAGTTGCCGCCGCTTGCGCCGCCAGTTCACCAGAAACGAGCTCGATGCCCTCACGTCCGCCTCCCCTCCGCCCCCTTCCGCGCCCGCGCCATCCCCCCCGGTTCCCCCCCCTGCTGCCAACCCCTCCCCCGCTCCACGTCCCCCCTCGCCTGAATTCAGGCGTCCTAGTCCACTGCGGCCGAATGCCGGGTCAGCAGTCTTGGGGCGGCCAGAAGATGGCGTGCCTGGGACACTTCCACTCTCCCCCCACTCCCCTCCCCCTCCAATGCTCCCTCGAGACAGACTCCGCATCCACCCCCCTGTTCCCCCTCCACCGCCCCCCCTCTCCCCTCTGAAGCTGCTCATCACACTCTCCTCGTCCCACCAGCTGCCCACCTCGTCCCGCCCATCACCCCTCCCCATCTCGCTCCACCCATCCTCACTCCACCACCCATCCATATCCGTCTGCACCGAGCCCACGCTCGTGGCCCGGCCGAGCCGGCGCTTCATGCTCTTCCACGACCCCAGACCCGCACCAGACCCTATCCCCGAGCCTCCAGCAGGGCTGGCAGCAGAGGCAGGGGCGCCGAGGCTGGACGTCCAGCTGCTGCCCCCAGAAGCACCAGCCGCAGCAGCAGCAGCAGCGGCTTCAGCAGCGGTAGTGAGGCTGCGGGAGGGCGGGAGGAAGGACTTGGGCAGCATGGAAGGCGCCTGCCCACTGCCCAGAGCCTCATCGTACTCAGGGCTGGAGAGAAAGCCGTGCTCCGTGGTACTGAGACTCATTGGAAGCGAGTGTGGCACCATCGACACCCTGCCCTTGCCCTTGCCCTGCTGCCTGCTCTTGCTGCATCTGACGTCACCGCTGTCGCTGCCGCTGCTGGTGGTGTCGCTGAGAGAGTCAAAGTCAGGGAGGGCTGAGGATGCCAGGGGGGCGGCGACTCTTGAGGTGGGTGTACCACGGGCGGACGCGACAGGGGTAGATGCAGCCGGGGCAGAAGCAGCAGGGGCAGCAGGGGCATGAGTAGGTGCAGCAGGGGAAGGGGCTGCTTTCTTCCCCACAATCCTTTCCCACGCGGCTGCTGCGCCTGCTGCTCGCCTGGCGCTGTCACTTTGCACATAAGCCTCACTCGCATCTTGTTTGTTAGCCGTAGCTCTCTCCTTCCCACTCCCTCTCTCCTTCCCACTCCCTCTCTCCTTCCCACTCCCTCTCTCCCTCCCACTCCCTCTCTCCCTCCCACTCCCTCCCTCTTTCCCACTCCCTCTCTCCTTCCCACTCCCTCTCTCCTTCCCACTCCCTCTCTCTCTCCCACTCCCTCCCTCCCAACCATTCCCTCTCTCCTCCTCACTCTTCCGCCCACCCCACCCACTGCCACTCTGCGCGGACCCCCGTCCCCCGCGCCCCCCTTCCGCCTGCGCCCTCCGCCTCCGCAGCACCTCCTCTCTCCGCCTCTTCTCCTCCTCCGTCTCCCCCTCGCTAGAACCGCTCTCGCTCCACTCACCAAACTCATCCGCCCCAGCCACGTCAACGGGCTTGCGCGTCAACCCCCCTGCGCCCCTCCCATCGCCCTGCGCGCGCTGCTGCGCGCTCCCACTCCTACCCCAGCTGCCGCTCCCACCTGCGTCCCCCGCCACGCTCTCAGATTCTTCCCCCCTCGCCTCGCCAGCGAGCCCCCACTCGTCATCCTCATCGTCCTCAAACCAGTCCGCGGCAGTTTTGCGCACAGGGACCTGCGCGCGTGCTCCCTCCTCTACCGCTTCCTCTCCGCCTCTCCACCCGCTCCCCCAAGCATTCCCGCTGCTGCTCTGGCCCTGCTCTTTCCCCGCACGCCCCCCCATGCGCCCTTGCTGCTGCTGCTTCGACGCACGGCCAGCAGCATTATCAGCACCACTGCTGTTGCCGTCATGCGACGAGACTCTAGGTGTGGAGCGTGCGGGGTGAGATGCGTGGGAGTGGTGGATAACCACGCTCTCCGCCTCGCTCCACGCGCCCCCTGTGGTCACCGTGCCTGACTCGCTCCACACCACCACGCTGCCTCCCTCGCTCCCAGGCACGAAACTGCTCTCGCTGCCCTCCCCGTCCCCCTCGCTCTCCCCCCACTCCCCCTCCCCCGCTCTTCCCCACCCGCCCTCCTCCGCGTGCCCTTTCCTTGCGCGTGCCTCCTCCTCCCACCTGTCCCCAGCATCCGCCCCTTCCTCCTCTTCCCCATTACCCAGAAGCTTCCCTTTCACGTGTCCCAATATCCTGGATAGTCGTCTCTTTACATGCTTGCGCAAGCCAATGTGGGGGATGGGGGACGCTGACCTGGCATCACCTGATTGGTCGACCGCAATTTCATCCTCATTCTTCCGACCCTGGACTTCCAGAAAGCCAGGCCCGGGAATTGATGAGCTCGCCGAGCCTGTGCTCTCGGCTCGGCTGTGTGACCGAGGCACGCGCCACCACGACTGCGCCAGGTTCGACGGGGACCCTGCTGAGTCAACCCTAGCGAGACCACTCGGGTCAGAAACCAACAAAACATCGCGCGCTTCGGGAGATTCCCCAGAGTTCCAAGGTTTCACGGCACCGCGGTTGCTTCCATCATCGTGAGTGGCGAGCAATCGGTCGTCGCTCTCAGCGGACATGTCGCTCCATGACCGCGACTTCTTCCTCCTCTCCTCCTTCCTCCTCCCTTCCTTCCTCGGCTCCTCTTTGTCCACGCCCTCTTTATCGCGCCCCGCTTTCCCCTTCGTCCTTCCTCCTTTCTCTCTGCCTGTTTCATCCTTGATTTTCCTGCCAGATACCGTCGGCTCTACGTCCCCTTTACGGCCTGACGCTTTACTCGCTAACGGCTGCCGGCTACTTCCGTCGGTCCAGCCTGTGAGCTCCTCCTCGTCGTCTGACGACAGCAGCCGGCTGTCTGCCGTAAAATTCCTGCCGTCTGTAATAACGGTCGACGTCTGACGTGACGGTGTGGTTGGACGACATTCTGAGTGCGACGGCGTACGAAACATGCCTAAGCATACATAGATGTTGCTGTGTACAATCCCCGATCGCTAATGCCACAAGACCGTACAGACTAACAGCTTTGATTCCAATGAAGTAAGAAAGACCAAATTTCAGATGAACTGCGTGCGTTGGAGACGAGACATGGACGAGAGGTGAACAGGTGGAGTGGAGGAGGCGAAGCCTACTTGGAGGTAGTGTCCTGTTCTGTGCGCTATGGCGGTTTTCACTCCCAATTTGGTTGGAGCAGAGGGAGTGCACATAGATCGTTGAGTCCAATCAGGAAATCTTGAATTTGAGCTGAAGTCAATGTCAGCATGGGTGATAGGGTTACAGTACGTTTCTGCACGATTTTATGTGGTGCCTCAGAGATGCAGCCTGCCCAGAGGTTTGCTAAGAATAGGCAGTTTCAGCAGTGCAGGCGTTCAGGCCAGCAGATTGGAAACGGGCAGAAAATAATTGACCCTCTCGCATGCTGCAGCATTTGCTGGCAGGCGTGCAAATGATTGATTGCTGCTCGCTATGGCGGCGGGAAAAGTTATGCGCCGCGATTGGCTTGCCCGCACTAGAAACACCAGAACTGCCGACTGTTTGGAAGAACGTGACCCAGGTGATGCTTTGTGATTGGTGGAATGTTTTTCGCGAGTAACGCACATGCCCAGCGGTTTCAACCATGTTATAGGAGAATTCGACCTTCTTTTAGGAGCCTATTATTGTTCGCAATTGCCATATAAATTCTTCTTTAAAATTCCGTAAGTCCATCAAATTGACTCGGATGAGATATAGGTAAAGGTGGTGATATCAACGCGGAGGATGGGAAAATGACTGATTAATCGTAAAAGGACATATGACAGCATGCCATTTAGGATATGGGATAGAGCTGGTTGGAATGGGCAGTTTTACAACAGAACACTCCATCCCCTCCACTCCACGGATGATTCTGCTTCGTCCAAGATTTCCGGGTACAGCCTCCTATGATTAGAGAGATTCCGCCAGGTCATCCCGTACCACACGCAAATCCGTGCCACGCCACAGCCTACAAGAAAATCAAACAATTCCCTGGGAGTCTTTCCGTCGCGAAGAAGGAAGTGGTTCGCGAAGAAGGTCGCATTCGTTCAGAGTCGAGCCCTGGTCGCAGCTGTCGCTGCTCATCTCTCGAATGAAGGTCGGTTTCGCATAATCGTAACCAGATGGACTTGTGGTAGCAGACCGTTCAGAGCATCACCTCACCCAACCATTCCTGCCCTTCTGAGGCTAGAAAGCCTGAGAAGAGAGGAAAAGAGCTCTCGAGAACACCAGACACAAAACAGGAGATACCATTGACTCAGAGACTAGCCAAGAAGACTAGTTTGTGTCTCGTACTACAGGCCTTCTCTGGCGTTGCTTCTTTCGGCAGCGGCAGTACCATCGACATTACCGGCTACTTCGGTGATTAGACAGCTCTAAGACAGAGCCATTGCCCTGTCAATCGGTTAATTCCTGGAGTACAGGCAATACTTCATTTGCTACTGTTTTCGGGCCACTTCATATATTGACCAGCCATTCCTTCGTAAAGATGTGGAGATTCTGTGCTACGAGGCTTGCGACGACCGCAGCTAGGTCGCCGTCGTCGCGCTCGACACTGCATCGCGACAATGCTCGCGTTGCGCTATACTTGAGCCCCAAAGTCGTCCCTTACCTGAGCCAGATCCACCGACCATACTCCTCAGACAGCTCAGAAGATAAGGTCCGTTGCGCATAGCCCGACATGCAATGCCGTACCAATGGCCAAGTTCCAGCGATTGCGACTACTTGGGTGTAGCAATTTCTTACAAAACAATCAAGAAAGACTTCGCCCCACTTCCAACATGTTTCTCCGTTTCACTTCGCAGCTGTTCAACAAGCTATTGGTGGCGAATCGCGGCGAGATCGCGTGTCGCATACTGCGCACGGCGAAGAAGCTAGGCATCCCCACCGTCGCCATCTACTCCGACACCGACATCGAGGCTCCCCATGTCCGCCTCGCCGACGAGGCCGTCCACGTCGTGCGTCTCTTCTCCCTCGTCCGTCGTCCGTCGTCCGTCGTCCCTCGACCCCGGTCCCTCTTCCCTCGCAACACCATGACCAGCCCAGAATCCAGTCGTCTTAGATGTGTCAACTGTTTTACCGCGTAGTGGTCTTCGCTGATCCGCCGAAACGGACTGTCATCCAGTCCTGCATCCGCTCCCAGCATTCACCAGCTTCGTCTCCTGCTGTTGCCAGCATACGTCATCTTCAGCGCTTGCATCCCTCGTTCCCGTGTACGCTGCCTGTGCGACGTGCAGGGCCCGTCGCCGGCGAACGAGAGCTACCGCAACGTGGAGCGCGTGATGGATGCCGTCATCAAAGCCGGCGCCGACGCCGTGAGTGCCGCCGCCGCCGCCGCTCTGCTGTCAGATTGTATCGTCGAACCAGATTCCAATGCACTGTGAAACGGTTAGCATGCAACTGAGCAGTGCTTCTGACATGCGTTTTAAACAGCCTCGCAGCTCACAATAGAGAGAAAGGAATTTCATTCCAGATCAGTGGTGTTACTAAATTCTTATCTCCATATGCTCACTCCCCTGCTGCTCCGCAACGCGGGCGCGCGCAGGTGCATCCGGGGTACAGCTTCCTGTCGGAGAAGCCCGAGTTCGCGGAGAAGCTCAAGGCGCAGGGCGTCACGTTCGTGGGCCCCACGCCCGAGGTCATGCGACTCATGAAAGACAAGGTGAGAGCCCCATTACGTCATCTCACACACAGATGGAGGTAGGGTCACATGTCGTATGACAAGGTCAGGACCCACATCGAGTCCTATCAAGCGTACGGGGCGAGGTAACACTCACCCTCCGCGTGTGCGCAGCACACTCGCACGCTGCGCAATGCCTTGATGAGAGCTCTCCCTCGCGTGCGCGGGCCTGGAATGGTCCACCCTTGTGCGCCATGCTTGCCCCTCTCCCCACTGCTGTCCCGCACAGACGGCAAGCAAGCACGCGGCGGTGGCGGCGGGGCTGCAGGTGCTGCCCATCGGGGATGCCGTTGCCTCCGATGAGGACCACGCCGTCCAACTCGGTACGCCCTCTCGCCCCCGTCCTCCCCTTTTTTAGCCCTTTCCCCACCCCCGTTCATACGCTCTTGTGGCATCCTGAACGGAGTCAATGATTGTAACGCCTGATGCCACGTGGTGACTTGCTTCTGCTGTGGTGCCTCCTCGCTGTGCTCTGCCCACCGCCTCCATTGCCCGCCATCCCCATGCCCCACAGCCAACAAGGTGGGCTTCCCAGTGGTGCTCAAGTCCCTCGACCGCAACCAGTCCCATGTGCTGCGCATTGCCTCGTAAGCTCGCCTCTCTCAATCCTCATTGTTCCTACAGCACCGCTTCTCTGCGTCCACATTTCTAGCACAGCACTCTCTGCTGCCTCCTGCTGCAACTGCTGCCTTTCTCACACCGCATTGCTCTGCTCCCTGACCCACGTTGACCGCGCAGGAACGCGCGTGAGGTGCGGGACCACTACGACCAGTTCCAGCAGGACCTCTCGTTCGTCTCGCCTGGCGCGCACAGCCAAGTCGTCGTCGAACAGTGAGCGCTCACGGCAGGCTGGGAGGCGGGGAATAGGAGGGGGGGAAGAGGGGGGGAAGAGCGGGGGAAAAGAATGGTTGGTGAAGGGGAGGGCGAATATGCTGTCTGCACGAGAATATAGAGGAGCTGCGCGGTGGGGATGGGGGTGTGGTGGGGGTGCGATGGCCTTGCACGGCATGCTGGCCTGGATGTCAAGCGAAAGCCATGACGGCCATTGGACGAGCATGTAGAGTCGCGCTTTCCAGACGAGGTCGTTTCCAGGCTGACCTGCTGCCGCCTTGCCTCCCGCCATGCCCTCTCTCCATGCCCGTCCATGCCCGTCCATGATGGCAGCTACCTGGAGAAGGCGCGGCTCATTGAGATTCAGATCGTGGCCGACAAGCATGGCGGCATGGTGCGTGCACTGTGTCGCACTACATTCCCCGCGCCTCTCCCCTCGTTTCTTTCACTGCACAACGCATACACCCCTCACTCTCCTTCATACCACGTTCTAATGAGACCATCCGTGCCTCTTCCTCCCTCCCTGTGCCCCATGCACCTCCACTCCATCGTGTTGGCGCATGTCAGCTGTGGTTCCCGGAGCGAGAGGCGTCCATCCAGAGGCGCTACCAAAAGGTACGCTCGCCTGCTCTCCCTGGCCGTCCTCCCTCCTGTCCTTCCTTTCCGCCTCATTCCCTTGTTCACCTCCGCATCGGCCCTTCTCCGATGTGCCTATTGGTACCGTCATTGTTCCCCTAGGCAGAGTCCGCCACGCTCGTGTTGCCATCGTAATCTCCTCCTCACCCCCCACTTCCCCAACCCCCTCCCTCCCCCGGTTTCCCCCCCTGCCCCCTCCCCCTGCACCCTCCCGCCACCGTATGTGGGGCGGGGAGCAGCTGATAGACGAGTCACCGAGCACGTTTGTGGACGCCGCCACGCGCAAGGCGCTGGTGGAGCAGTCCGTGGCGCTGGCACGCTCCATCAACTACGACACCACCGGTCAGTGCCCACACCCGTGTGCTCTCCTGTGCTCCCTGCACACAGTGAGTGATGACTTGTGAGACGACTCAACGGCCACGCGCAAGGCACTGGCGGAGCAGTCAGTGGCGCTGGCGCGCTCCATCAGCTACGACACCACCGGTGCGTGCCCACACCCGTGTGCTCTCGTGCGCTTTTGAGGCACCTCAAAAGGCGCTGGTGCAGCGGTCGGTGGCGCTGGCGCGCTCCATCAGCTACGACACCACCGGTCAGTGTGCCCGGCCGCACCTGTGTGTGCACTGTGCACGCGGAACGTTTGTGTTGCTACACGTATATGGGAGGGCAGTGTGGGCGGGAGGATGTGGGATGGCATGAGTGCACGTACCGGACCATGTAAAATGTGACTCGCTTTGCGTGCGTCCTCATGCGTTGCGTGTGTGTTTGTGTGTGCTTGCGTGGCCGGCAGGCACGGTGGAGTTCCTACTGAGTCAGAGCAAGGACATCTACTTCCGAGGCATGAGCACTCGCCTGCATGTAAGCGCTCCCTCCCCTCCCGCCTCACCTCACTCCATCTCCATTTCATCTCCATCCACCCACTGTCATGCATGTACCAAGAGACAACCCAACGAATCACCAACAGTGTGCTGTGTACACCACAAACACACAGCAGAACCTCCACAGCAGACAAACAGAAGCAAAAAGTGGAAGACTTGTGAAAGGGAAACCCCCACTCCCCCCCCGCCCCTCCCTCCCCCTCCTCTCCCCTTCTGCCCCCCCCCCTTCTCCTCTTATCCCATATCTCCCCTCTTCGTATCTCCCCGTCTCCGCATCTCCCCCTCTCCCATATCTCGCCGTCTCCCCCCCTTTTTTTCCCTGCCAGGCGGGGCACGTGGCATCGGAGTGTGGGACGGGGGTGGACATAGTGGAGCTCATGCTGAGGGCAGCAGCAGGTGTGCACTCTTGAGCCGCTCTCCCACTCCCCCCCTTTCCCGCCCCTCCCCCCGCTCCTTCAGGCGGGGCATGTGGCATCGGAGTGTGTGACGGGGGTGGATATCGTGGAGCTCATGCTGAGGGCAACGGCAGGTGCACTCTTGAGTCCCCTTCCCCCCCACTCTTCCCCCCTTTTCCCCCACCCCCCTTCCCGTGCCTGTCAGGCGGGGCACGTGGCATCGGAGTGTGTGACAGGGGTGGACATAGTGGAGCTCATGCTGCGGGCAGCAGCAGGTGTGCACTTCTAAGTCCCCCTCCTCTCCCACTCCCAACCCGTTTCCCCCCTCCCCCCGCCCTTCAGGCGGGGCACGTGGCATCGGAGTGTGTGACGGGGGTGGACATAGTGGAGCTCATGCTGAGGGCAGCAGCGGGGCAGAAGCTCGCCGTGGCGCAGGAGCACATTGCGGAGCCCAAGGGCTGGGCCATTGGAGCGCGCATCTACAGCGACAACCCTCGCAAGAACTTCCTCCCGTACGTCCAAACCCCCTCTCTCTGCTCTGCCTGCTGCTCTTCCCCATGCCCATGCCCATGCCCATGCCCATGCCCATGCCCATGCCCATGCCCATGCTGCATCACGTGCGCCCACCTCCTCGTGGCGCCATCCCTGCTTACCTGTGTGCCTTAGCCCTTCCATACCACTGTTCTGCATTCCTGTAGGCTGCTGCCCTTCCCACACCATGCTGTCTCCGTGCCGCCATCTCTGGCTGTTGATGCAGGTCGAGTGGCAAGATCCTACGGTACATAGAGCCCGTCATGCAGTGCTCAAACGAGGGCATTCTGCGCATCGACTCGGGTGTTGCTGAGGGTGACGTCATCAACTTCTATTACCACCCCCTCATGTCCAAGGTACCTTCTACTACCACCCCCTCCTGTTTACACTTCTCGCGATTGCCACCCAAGACAGCTTCTCATGCAAGCTCCCTGCTACTGCCACCCTCAATTTCATGCTATTCCAGCATGAGCACCCACTGTGAACGCGAGTTGACAGGCGAGTGCTGCTCTTCCCTGTGCTGTGCTGCTGTGCTGCTGTGCGTGCTGTGTGGCAGGTGACCACGTGGGCGCCCACACGCGATGCGGCCATTGACAAGATGGAGGTCAGTGTCCCACCCACGCCTTGTCCCGCCCACGCCTTGTCCCGCCCGCGCCTTGCCCTGCTTTGCTGTGTCATGCCGCCATCTTTCCCTTCTCTTTTTCTGCCTGCTGCTTCCTTTCCCTCTTCGTTTGACCCAGTCTATCCAATTGCTGCCACTTCCTTCCTCCACCATCGCTCCACTCACCTCTACCAACACGGTCCCTTGCCACCCCACCCCACCTGACCCCTCCCCACCGCACTCCACCCATAACAGTACGCCCTGGACCGGCACTACATCGAGGGCATAGAGAGCAACATCCCCTTCCTGCGCTGCATCGTCTCCCATCCGGTCAGCCCCCGCCCTGCACAGCCCTCCCCGCCTCGCATGCTGCCTTGCACGTTGGCCTTCATGTCATAACTTATGCCAGCACCGCACCACACTGCTGTGCCCCGGGGCCCCAGAATAGAATGCTTTTCTCCATACCGTAGACATGTGTTGCTCGCGCTCAATGCCAGCTGATCCCAGCAACTACCACATCAAGCCTGACCATCTGCTGATTCGACTCCCCGTTGTTTGCATGATTTGGGTTTCCCCGTCAACCACTTCCCCCCTCTCCCCCCAGGCGTTTGCATCGGGCAACATAACGACCAACTTCATTCAGGACAACTTCCCTGCTGGCTTCTACAACGACCACCTCTCTCCCCGTGAAGAGGTGCGCCCCACCCCCCCCTCCCCATGCCACGCCTGGATGGCAGTGTCGCGGCCATGTTTTCTCCTCAACCCTCTGCTGCATCACCCTCTCTTCACGTGCCCACTGCCTCTCTTCACTCTCTCACCGCCCCTCCGTATCCTTCCTCTTTCTATCTTCCGCCTCCTATTATTCCTTAAACTTCTCTCACTGCTACTCCCTCCCTCCCACCCGCCCCTCCCCAACCCCCACCTTCAGAGCGAGTTGGCGGGCATATCAGCCTTCCTGCACGTGATCAAGGGCGTGCGCGCCTCTGCCACCGTCACCTCCGACCGCCCGGCAGCAGACGCCACGGCAGCAGCAGCAGCGGCAACGCTGTCACAGAAGGCAGTGACGGAGAAGCTGGTGGTGTCCGTGGATGGCCAGCAGGTGCCTGTCACCCTCACGCACTGGCCCTCCGACAAACACCCCGTGCTGCGCCGCGCTGTGAGTGCTTCTCTCTAGCCCCTCTCCCATGCATGACTGGCAGCAGCAGCAGCAACGCTGTCACAGAAGGCAGTGACGGAGAAGCTGGTGGTGCCCGTGGATGGGCAACAGGTGCCAGTCACTCTCACGCACTGGCCCTCCGACAAACACCCCGTGCTGCGCCGCGCTGTGAGTGCCGCTGCTCTCTCTCTCTCGGTCCTCGCCCGTGCATGGCTGCCTGTGATTGCCGCTCAGTTGAACTGGGATAGGAATTGTCGCGTGGGAGTCTTGGTTGGGGTGTGAGGTCGCTCGTGTGTGTGTGTAGTGCTGCCTGCATGTGCATTCTACAGTTCGTATGAGTGTTGTTGCATTCCAACTCATTCCTTAGTATCCTGCACTAACAGTCGCTGTTCCTGCGTTTGCTTGTGGTGGGGCGCATGGGGTGTGTTGGGGCAATCTGCTGTTCGTGTATGTGCCTGTGGGGGGTCGCATGGGGGGTTCGCAGAAGGTGGACGTGGCGGGGGAGGTGATGGAGGTGGAGGAGCGCGACCCCATCCTGAGTGGCAAGGGGCTCATCCACATGAGCCTGGACGGCAAGGACACCAGTGTGTGCATCCGCCAGGAGCTGCCACGTGGCTTCTCCATGCTCTACCACGGCAGCATCAAGGTAAGTTGCTGCTCCTTTTCTCCCAACCCAACCCTCACAAATCCGTCCTTCGAGTGTCCCTTGCAAAACTGCCCACTTTCCTTCCTTTCTTGGTCCACCTCTCACACACTCTTCCTTTCTTCACACTCTCCCCTCACGCCTGTCCATGCGTTGCTCCCCTTGCTCTCCCCTGGGTGGCATACGAGCAGGACGAGGTGTTGGTGCAGCGAGCGGACTTAGCACCGCTGCAGAAGTTCATGCCCAAGAAGAAGACCGACGACGTCGCCCATGTGAGGCCCCCTGCCCACTGCTGCCTCTCATGTACTCTCTCCCTTGCCTGATTGCACCAACAAACTACCCTGTGGCTGCATGCTTCAATTTTCTCCTCACTCATCACTGTCGGCCGAGTCTCACCACATCCTTGGTGTGGGCTCCTCTGTGTGTGCAGCTCATCCGCACGCCCATGCCGGGCTCTGTCGTCAAGATCTCCGTGCGCTACAAGCAGAAGGTGAACAACGACCCCCCCCTGCTCTACCACCCCATGTCACACCTTTGAACCCATCCTTCTTGCTCGTGCCACACTGCCTCTTGTCCACCTATCATGACACACCCCACCCACTGCCTGCTAATATAAAATGTGCCTTGTCGCGCCCACACTGCACGTGGCTGTGGGTGGCAGGTGCTGCCCGGGGACGAGCTGGTGACGATCGAGGCGATGAAGATGAGGAATGTGATTCGCGCGGAGGAGGCGGGGGTGATCCGCGGCATCTACGTGAAGGAGGGGCAGACCGTCAAGGTCGGCGAGATGCTCCTCGACCTCGACGTGTAACCGCGCTCTGTTGTGCCTTGCCATGCACTGCCGTCCTGCCCCACACGCTCGCGGCTCGACAGCCCTCCACAGCCTCAAGGCTCATTGCTTGCCATGTGTAATCTAAAACAAGGCATACCATATAAAGGACAGATTACATTGCAGTTGATTCGAAATAATTTTAATCTGCTCAGGCAGGTTCTGGCTCTAATCAGCTGCTTGTATCTGCTCTGTGCCGAGCCGACTATACTAGTGCACAACAATGGTGAACTGCCTACACAACACTCCTACCACGAATCCTCCTTGGGAGAGTGAGTTGAATGAACTAGTGGAGGGCTGTGCATCAACAGGCATCCTTCCTCACCACATGAGTGTGTGAACACAAGAATCCACATCTACCCCACACGGCCTCCCCTTGCCTTGCGCACACCCGCATGGCACGACGCCCCTTGGGCCCTCGCCCTGGTTCTGTCTCATGCAGCTGCTCCATGGATCCAGCCACACGTGCAAGCGTGTGTGTGTGTGTGTGTGCAGGCAGTGTGAGTGATGGTGGGGGTGTCAGGG